CTCTGATTGATTTGATGGTGTCAATTTGTCAAATAGCATGAAACTAAAGGATATAAACTTTTATTTGATAGAATTTCTGCAAAAATGACCAATTTTGGCATTATATGGTTAAAATAAGCATTTCATAGCTTTTTCAATTTTGATGCATAAGTGGCATTCTGACTTTCTATCTGACAGGTTTTCTTGTGTCAATATTTGTGTTTCTATGCTTTAATCCAGTTGTATTACTCATTTGTGAACTCTGAATTAACAGAAAAGAAGATTATCTCAGACAATATGTGCAAAATGTGTTGTATTAATGACCCTCGTCTAACGCCCTGTTTGGATCAAGTTAAATGGGAGGAGCTTGGTACATAAAAGTTGAAGTCCATAATAAAAACCTCACTAAATTTGTATAAAAAGCACTAAATAATGTCTTTTGTACCTGTTTCATTTCACATAATATCTTTCTTTTTATCTGTAGGATAGTAAGTGGTTCAAATATAAGCCTGTTGAGACTAAAATTGCCTGCAAGTTTTTCACTAAAAAGTGAAAAATCTTTGTATCAGACCATACTGTCTGCCAAAAAAGTTGAATGCAAGAGTCTTTTTGTGCTCAGATTTATTATATCATGTCACCTGAGTATAGAAATGATAGAAAAGACACACATTTTTATTTCCTATAGCTTCAATATGCATTTTTAAATGTAAATATGTGCTACGGCCTAAATTGACCCTAAATTATTTTCAGTCTTACTTGGCCTAAGACCCTTTTAAACTAATATGATATGTTATTTGTAAGTTTTCTTTCCATTTAAAGTACATTAAATACATATGTAAGGATTATTTATAACCAAAAAGCTTCACAAATTTAAAATTGCTGGAAAATATTACATCTTCATGTAAGACCCCCCTTCATTGGAAAACCTCCATTTTTAGGCACAGGCTCATATAAATTTGACTTTTGAATAATTATGCTAAGTCGGATATATCAAATGAGTACTCTATTGCTTTTAATACATGATATATTATATATTAAGGCATTTTAAAAGTATTTTTTTGCAATAATTTAATTTTAAAAGCCCCAAATGTTGATAGTTGAAAATTTTCAATTTTAACGTCAAAATTTAACACGCAAAGTTGAATATAAAATTTATCATATTGTCTATAATGTATATCTTATTGCCATGAAACTTTGTAAGCAGTCTCATAATTTATTAAGCTTTGGTCATACCAAGTTTTATTAAGATTGGTCAACTTTTTCTATCCTATTAGGTGAAATCAGGAAATATAGAATCTGTACTTTGGCAACTTCCCTGATTGATTTGATGGTGTCAATTTGTCAAATAGCATGAAACTAAAGGATATAAACTTTTATTTGATAGAATTTCTGCAAAAATGACCAATTTTGGCATTATATGGTCAAAATAAGCATTTCATAGCTTTTTCAATTTTGATGCATAAGTGGCATTCTGACTTTCTATCTGACAGGTTTTCATGTGTCAGTATTTGTGTTTCTATGCTTTAATCCAGTTGTATTACTCATTTGTGAACTCTGAATCTACAGAAAAGAAGATTATCTCAGACAATATGTGCAAAATGTGTTGTATTAATGACCCTCGTCTAACGCCCTGTTTGGATCAAGTTAAATGGGAGGAGCTTGGTACATAAAAGTTGACGTCCATAATAAAAACCTCACTAAATTTGTATAAAAAGCACTAAATAATGTCTTTTGTACCTGTTTCATTTCACATAATATCTTTCTTTTTATCTGTAGGATAGCAAGTGGTTCAAATATAAGCCTGTTGAGACTAAAATTGCCTGCAAGTTTTTCACTAAAAAGTGAAAAATCTTTGTATCAGACCATACTGTCTGCCAAAAAAGTTGAATGCAAGAGTCTTTTTGTGCTCAGATTTATTATATCATGTCACCTGAGTATAGAAATGATAGAAAAGACACACATTTTTATTTCCTATAGCTTCAATATGCATTTTTAAATGTAAATATGTGCTACGGCCTAAATTGACCCTAAATTATTTTCAGTCTCACTTGGCCTAAGACCCTTTTAAACTAATATGATATGTTATTTGTAAGTTTTCTTTCCATTTAAAGTACATTAAATACATATGTAAGGATTATTTATAACCAAAAAGCTTCACAAATTTAAAATTGCTGGAAAATATTACATCTTCATGTAAGACCCCCCTTCATTGGAAAACCTCCATTTTTAGGCACAGGCTCATATAAATTTGACTTTTGAATAATTATGCTAAGTCGGATATATCAAATGAGTACTCTATTGCTTTTAATACATGATATATTATATATTAAGGCATTTTAAAAGTATTTTTTTGCAATAATTTAATTTTAAAAGCCCCAAATGTTGATAGTTGAAAATTTTCAATTTTAACGTCAAAATTTAACACGCAAAGTTGAATATAAAATTTATCATATTGTCTATAATGTATATCTTATTGCCATGACACTTTGTAAGCAGTCTCATAATTTATTAAGCTTTGGTCATACCAAGTTTTATTAAGATTGGTCAACTTTTTCTATCCTATTAGGTGAAATCAGGAAATATAGAATCTGTACTTTGGCAACTTCCCTGATTGATTTGATGGTGTCAATTTGTCAAATAGCATGAAACTAAAGGATATAAACTTTTATTTGATAGAATTTCTGCAAAAATGACCAATTTTGGCATTATATGGTCAAAATAAGCATTTCATAGCTTTTTCAATTTTGATGCATAAGTGGCATTCTGACTTTCTATCTGACAGGTTTTCATGTGTCAGTATTTGTGTTTCTATGCTTTAATCCAGTTGTATTACTCATTTGTGAACTCTGAATCTACAGAAAAGAAGATTATCTCAGACAATATGTGCAAAATGTGTTGTATTAATGACCCTCGTCTAACGCCCTGTTTGGATCAAGTTAAATGGGAGGAGCTTGGTACATAAAAGTTGACGTCCATAATAAAAACCTCACTAAATTTGTATAAAAAGCACTAAATAATGTCTTTTGTACCTGTTTCATTTCACATAATATCTTTCTTTTTATCTGTAGGATAGCAAGTGGTTCAAATATAAGCCTGTTGAGACTAAAATTGCCTGCAAGTTTTTCACTAAAAAGTGAAAAATCTTTGTATCAGACCATACTGTCTGCCAAAAAAGTTGAATGCAAGAGTCTTTTTGTGCTCAGATTTATTATATCATGTCACCTGAGTATAGAAATGATAGAAAAGACACACATTTTTATTTCCTATAGCTTCAATATGCATTTTTAAATGTAAATATGTGCTACGGCCTAAATTGACCCTAAATTATTTTCAGTCTTACTTGGCCTAAGACCCTTTTAAACTAATATGATATGTTATTTGTAAGTTTTCTTTCCATTTAAAGTACATTAAATACATATGTAAGGATTATTTATAACCAAAAAGCTTCACAAATTTAAAATTGCTGGAAAATATTACATCTTCATGTAAGACCCCCCTTCATTGGAAAACCTCTATTTTTAGGCACAGGCTCATATAAATTTGACTTTTGAATAATTATGCTAAGTCGGATATATCAAATGAGTACTCTATTGCTTTTAATACATGATATATTATATATTAAGGCATTTTAAAAGTATTTTTTTGCAATAATTTAATTTTAAAAGCCCCAAATGTTGATAGTTGAAAATTTTCAATTTTAACGTCAAAATTTAACACGCAAAGTTGAATATAAAATTTATCATATTGTCTATAATGTATATCTTATTGCCATGACACTTTGTAAGCAGTCTCATAATTTATTAAGCTTTGGTCATACCAAGTTTTATTAAGATTGGTCAACTTTTTCTATCCTATTAGGTCCGAGTACACAGTTATCGTCCTTTGATTTTCGTTGTCCACAAATATAGTCCCTAGTGTGGACAGTGTGTTACTTGCCAATTTTTTTTATTCCCCTTCCAAATTTATTTCTCCATGTTTTATGCCTTAAACATGTTAAATAGCAAGTAGGGGGATGAAATTACACTGTAAAAAAATTTGGGTCATGAATTTTAAAGTAAAGTAGTGATTTGGTCCAGCTGAAAAAGGTTAAAAATAAGCACTTCGGAAGCTGTCAAAAGATTTCAAGACCCCCTTAACATAAAATTGTCCATATTTTTAGTTAGAGCCGATGAGGTTTTCTATAATTTTGATATAATTTGTCCCAAAAGTAGTACAACACACTGTAAAAATATTATTGAGAAAGCGCAGGTGGGATTTTTTTAATTTTCATTTGTTGTCTAAAAGAAATGCACTACGAAATAACTGTGTACTCGGACCAGGTTGCTCTTAAATTTTCACAACATGGGCGTATTTTTCTCCTTAAGACATCTTGTGAAATAACCCCATAAACTTGAAGCTTTTTATAATGAAAATCGAAATCCGGGATAAAAAGTATATTTAAAACAAATTCGTTTTAAATTTTGTTGAAAGAAAGTTATATTTTATGTATCGAAATGTGAAACAAGTGATTATAGACATCCCTACTGGAAGGCCCCTGACAGACTGTGTATGCGTTAAATCATTGTTATCGATAGAGGATGACAAACAAGTTAAAAAAGTAAAGGATGTTCGGTATTATTAACAACATATGTATTACGGTCGTCCACACTGTTATGGTTTACCAATGATACCAGAAGCCACTTTTAACCATTTTAAAGTGCATATTTTTTTGTATCAATTAAACAGTAGCCTCAGAAAAAAAGTAGCTGCTGGTATCATTTGTATATAAAATGGAATTTAAGCTTAAGAAAATCATGACAAGACGTGAAAATGTCGAATTCCGTTGTTAAAGGAGGTGCTATTATAGTTTGGAACATTTGAGTCTGATACTGTTTTTTAGATTTTAGATATTTTATAAATTGTGGCTGCTGAAAAAAAGCGGCTGTGGCTCGATTGGTTGTTTAAAGGTGCTGCAAGCTTGAGTCTAGTACAACAGTAAGGCATTCTTAGTTTAAATAAAGCACAGTGATTTTTTTTTTCAGGAAATATTAAACTACTTTGAAATACTACGTTTACAGTTTCCAGGTGCTGAAATTGATGCTTCTACATTTGAAGATTATATTGAAGCAATACAACCAATCAAGAATCAACTACCAGTTTTGACACAAGAAATAGGGGATACTTGGATTCAAGGAATTTCTTCAGATCCCTATAAGCTTACTTTCCAAAGAGCGTTTCAAACAGGACTTGAACTTTGTTTTCATTCGAGTAATATTCTGATTACATTAAATTTTATGTAAAATTACATCAAATGTACAAGATAGTAACAAAAAAGAAACATAAATTTTATGTAAAATTACATCAAATGTACAAGATAGTAACAAAAAAGAAAAGAAAGAAGCTGGCTGAAAGAGAACAAGTGTTTTTGTACTTCATAATAATCATGCTTAGGAAATACCGCTACACTATCAGATAAAGATAACGAGAAAGTCCCTTACTTCGGAATTACAATGTACTAATATCCGTGTATAGTGGAAAAAGTTGACCAATCTCACTTTACCATTGAGCTTTGATCATTATTATTTGCATGAAAAATAGAATTTATGTTTAAGGTAAAAGGAGTAAGGACTTTTGCTAAACAAAGAAGACAAAGGCATACCATGTCTACAGACTAACATTGCATCACAGTTACATGATGTTTTTTTATTTAATCTTTTTTTTTTGCCGTGAAAGTGGGAGGGGTGGTCATTGCATGTACAAATATCGGAAGCTTAATCTATACAATTTTTGTCAAATATTTTATCAACACATACGTTTAATCACATCATAAAGAGCACTCTCAATGCCTACACTACGGAAAGTACCCTTAAAAACTTTTAAAGGCTACAATTATTATTATGAACATGTTATTTAATGTGCTTTGCTTACTAATAGGACATTTTTTCTTCAAAGATGAATGTAATTATACAGACCCTCGGATAAAAGATGCAGTTAGGTTTCTTGTCAAAGTACCTGAGCATACATGGGGTCTTCCAAGTGTTGGAGACAACATCAACTGGACAAATGTTGCGTTTCAGAAAGCATTGACAGGTATATTTTTAAACGAACTAAAGAGGTTATGTATATAGTAAAGACAACTAAAACATTTTATATACATCTCAAGTATAGGTTTGATTTTTTTAATATCTGATAACGTCAATGTTTGGTTTAAGTGACATTTCAAAACTATCTTTTTTAGTTATTTCTATTTTATGATAACAGCGGATAATCATCATTATAGTTCAGCGGAAAACATCGATCCAATAAACGATCATAAACTAGCAGGTCATTGGAACACACAGCTATATTTATTGAACTGGTCCTTGAATGACAAACTGAGTCAATGTTTGAAGAGAGCATAAGGAGACGTGAAATTTATTCCAGTAAAGACGACTCTAATGCGTCAGAAAACAAAAATAAAGCCGCCTCTTTCTAGTGTTTGTTAAACACGATTTTCTTGCAGGGTTACACAATCTAAACAGTCCTATAGTTAACAAAAAAAAAATGTACGTAAAAGATTTAATATTAAAACAGTTTAACATTTGTCCCTTCGTGTTTTCCTGCAACCTATATTATGCTTTTGTATATTCTCTGTTGATAATTTGTAATCTTCCATATTTGCTGCTCAACAGACAATACTACTTAGAATAAAAAATTAGCAGAAGTTATTTGTTTATTCAAACATTTGAGCCCATATAATATAGTACTCTACAACGTATTTTGGAACTCGGGTCAAGACAATTTTGGACAGATGTTCGACTATCCAACCTAACCACGCTTGTTTTTCATGGGTAGTATACCAATAATAATGCTGCAAAATTTACATGCATCGTATCTTTACGTTATTTACAACCCTATTAGACACCAAAACAGCCGTAAAACCGTTTTTCAACGTCATTATGTGGGCAACTGAATTCAGCTGAGTTACTCATTATTTAGATTTGGTCTTTTCTGTTTCGAGGGTCACTGTATAGTCTTTTGTAGATGAAATAACCACTATATTAAAAGCATGTAATATGTAATATGAAATAAATAAATATATAATTTTCGACATGGTTCTCGTTAATTATGTTTAAGGTTCAAACTACAGAAATTGTGTAATGGCATGGCAAGAACAGCGAGAATTCTTACACGTGGCATTAGATAAATTAGGCAACCATCCGCTTGCCGATATTGTAGATTATCTAATGTCCGAAACTAATCCAGTAGACCCTGACGTTGGAGGTAAGTAAGCTCATACAATACCACATGTCCGATTTCGATGATTGTAAAGCAAAACGCGATTGTGGGCCGAATAATAAAATGTATTGTAGCCATCATTAGGAGCCTTGTAACGAATATGTGCTGTTGATAAAATTCATATTCCTCTTCGATCGAAAAAGACTGCAAATAATCGGTCTAGGTTTTAAAGAAATTCGCAAAATATGCATTTTATATCAGGTCTTTTTATTTCAATTGAAATAAAAAAAACTTAACTTATCTTAGATAATGAAAACAAAACTTGTTGCATCCAATGAGTTTTTTTCTGAATTTACCTTCATTCGGAATACTCCATATTGAAAGCCAATGCTGTATAAATACTTGAATACTTGAGGAGCTTTATGACGAAAAGGAGCATAAAGAGAACAGCCAAATCACCTAGGGAGGACTTTGCTTTCAATATTTTGGCCTGGAGCATCACTGAAAAAACATTTATTGTCGTAGTTCGCATCTAGTGCAGTAAAATTGGCACGGTTAACATTACGTGCATACTGCTTGATCTGCCGTAACTCTTCGAAACCCTTTTCAAAAACAGTTATATTACCACCAATCAAAAGGTGGCTTCAGAGTAACTGTAAACTATCTACCCTTGGGGCGATATGATCATCAGATGAGGGTACTACAAAATTCAAAATATATGTTACAGTACTTACAATTAAAGTCCCTCTTCTTGTACAATAGTATAAAATAATTGACTTTTCTACTGTTGTTTTTTTTGTTATTTAATGCCAGATTGAAAGAATTAGTCCTACGTTTTCTCTGAAACTGACACCATCAGGATAATGGATGTCTTTTTTTCATTGATAACATATTTGTTACGTTTGTATGACGTGTGTCTTAACAGACAATCAGCATTCATATGGGTGTCATGAAATAGAAGTTCCTCCATAATATAAGTTCCAAGTGGAAAAAATATTCTGTAATATTTTTCCACTGGAAAACATTTATTACAGTATTTGTTCCTTACGGAATAAAGGCTATAGAATATTTGTTCCAACAGGAACAGATGTTATGGCATTGTTTATGGCAAATTTTCTTCTGTTAGGCCGAACAAATATACGTTGACACAACCACATCTTTTTATTTTTATATAGAAGCTGGCATTAACTTTCAATTTCACGTTCAACTATATGTATGATATCCTTTCATTAAATGATTCAAAGTTTGGTGACTATATTGACTGCATCTATCCCAATGAACTTGAAATAAAGGATACCACAGTTACAGTTAGGTCTGCTATATATCTTGACAACGAGGGTCGATTGAAGACTAACTTTACGACAAACGGAGACTTCAATTTTCCTATTGTTACCTCGCATTCTGTGTATTAACATTCCAGCATATGTAGAATCATGTGCAAAACAGTGTAGCCGAGACCATTGATTGGCGCGCTAAAATATCACATTGACTGGGTCAGATTAGGTGAACGTTCGTCTGTAACGCCCACAACTCATGACGTATTTATTATAAACATTTAAACTGTGGGGTTGCCAAAGGGTCTCAGTATATATACGAACTACAGTGCACAGTATATTATATACATATTTTATTTGCGATCATAAAATGTACGAAGTCGTCCATTACTATGTAAATTGGGTCGATTAAAAAAAAAGCTGAATATGTTTCTGTTGCCAAGGGTTTTTCACAAGTATAGTAGTTAGCAGAAAAGATCATCAAACTATACATTTTATACTGAACTGCGGCCAAGCTTAGCGAAAGGTCGTGCAACATAATCAGTCAAACAAACTTTATTAGATTAACTCGTTAAGGAACGATCGTTTTCATTGGTGAATTCAAACCTTCGACCTCACACCTGCGAAAATAGAACACGCGTACTATAAAGCTGAATGGACTGATCAGTATTCACGTAGCCGGTCAAGGTCGTTAAAAACTTCCATCGTCGTATTCACGTACATGATTGTGTTCTTGATTATCCCATGGCAGTTCTAGCTTTTATACATGTGCATGTAAAATTTTAAACTTTAATCTTAACAGTCACGTCGAAATATTTAATTCAACTGTCTCCTCTCAATTGGTTCTGGATTAAGGGAGCTACCATTTTATTTTGATTGGGGGTGGGGGACTTGGATGAAACATTTTGTCCTGCATTTTTTTTAGTTGTTATCTCTGTCCTGTCTTTCTATTTTTCAGTCTGTTAGTTCCTGACTATATTTATTAGTTTATCCTGATTTTGTTTACATAAATCGTCATCCTGCCTTTTTTTGTCAAGTTGCTCACCCTGCCTTATCTTTTATTCAACGGACTTGATGAATTAACGTTGTACTTGAAATGAAACCGTACTTAACTACAAAAATAACCAAATTACATACTAAAGATATTGCTCGATTTTTATAGTAAATGGGTTTGTGTTATAAACTGTCATGTTCATTATTCATATTCTTTCATAAGTTTTAGGATAGTGTGATTTTTTTTTCTGATTTAGTTTACTTGATTTTGAAAAAAAAATCCCGAAATTCTAAGTAAATTCAGAACATGTAACCAGCCATGCTTTGTTTAGAGAAAAAATGGAGATGGCAAACCATGGCACAGTGGAAGGAAATGTACTTTATAAACTCCAGCGATATACTTTCTTAATTTATAATTAACTGTTTTGCTATCCTCGGTTGAAAATTATATATTGTAAATATTTAAATAGTTGCATAGAAAACAATCAGTTTTAAACAGTGTGGTTATTCACTAAATGTATTGATAAAAGGTGACTCCATTTTTGTACATACTTTTACAGTAGTCATCCTTAATTTCTTAATATTTCGTTTATAAGTTTATCATACATGTATGATTTTGTATTTCATTTTAATACGCACGCATGCCACACGTTACTTTGGCGGATAGTTCAACAATGTTATGCAAAGCTCTATTCTTACGGTATGAAATTAAAGGATAAATTTTCAACCAATTAAAATCGAAAACAGTACATTTATATAGTTCCTTATAAACTACGACATTTCTCACAAGTATTTATTTATTTTTTAAGTTCCACACATGCAAAAATAAAATCTTCGCCGATGAAACATTTCAAACCTTTTTACACCAACATGCCTTCACTGAATTCATTTGAATTTCGTGGTGACCATGATAGTACATTGCATAGTACATCTATATTCACGTGCACACATGATACGATCTTTCGGGGACAATTTGCTCGTTTATGACACGTCATTTCTGAATGACTAAACGCTTAGCTATTTTATTTTCGTTTTATAGCATGAAAACAATAAGACAGGAATGTGCAACCCATCATAAATTTGAAATGGATCAGTATTATGAGATCCTTATTATAAGTAACTACGACATTGTCAGGATAATAACCTAGCGTCAATATGAAAGAAATTAAAGCGGTTCATACATTCATCCGTATAAAAGCGGCACATGTATTTTATTTTATCCTTATATTTTTCATAGTGCGGTACAAGTGCAGCATGCATAAAGAATATTACTTAACACAAATTATTAGTATAATATTTCGACCCCACTATTTGAAATTCACAAAATACTTATTTAATTATTTCGACCAAACATCATTGTTTTTTACGTTCGTAGTAACGTAGTACATTCCATTGTCGGTCACCTGTGTCAATTCACGTGCACACTACAATTGTTGTTGTATTTAAATCTTTCGGCCAATGAAATGAGACGTTACAAGTTGTTTGTTTGTGATACGCCAGAATGTTATCAATGAATTATCAATCGCTAAACTTGACTGCATTTCAGTGTACCTATTCAAAAACTTAATGCCAATTTCACAAGGCTTGATCAAAATAGCCTTTTTACTGTCTATTAACTTGCAAGTACGAAAAAGACAGGAAAGAAGTATATTTTGTCTATATGTTTTGTGTTTGCACACTTTTTAAAGTTGATCATGCATTCGTTCTAAAATAAAATTTTGACCAGATAAAAGTTAAAAGATGACATAATTGGACAACCGCAATTGTTAAATCGCTTTGACGTCCGAAAAAAAGATAATAATCAACACATCCATTGTAACTTTTAAAGCCAGTTAAATCCTTTTTTGCTGAAAGAACGTCCGATATCATAAAAAATCATTATCAAAACATAACAAAAACACAAGTAAAGAACGTTTAAGTATTCAATATAAATCAAAACACAAAGGTTATTCCTGATTAGTTTTTCGAATTATTTTATTTAGGCGTTGAGACCCTTTGGTTAACCCACAGTTTAAATGTCTATAATAAATACGTCGTGAGTTGTGGGCGTTACAGACGAACGTTCTGCTAATCTGACCCAGTCAATGGGATATTTTAGCGCGCCAATCAATGGTCTCGGCTACACTGTTTTGCACATGATTCTAGTATGTATCGCCCAGCTGATCCGATATTCCAGGATTTGCGTTTCCTGTCATTATTTCCTTGACTAAGAGTTTCAGAATCTGCTAACAAGGAAGCCATTGCATCAAGGATTCCAAATTGTAAAGTTAAAATAATCCATTCGAAAGTTTTACGGATGCTTTCAAGATAAGGAATATCCGTGTCATAGATGACCATTGATATTTTCCACTTATAATTTTACGTGCAATGAGTATTACGACGGATGCCAATAATGAAACAGGAACTGCTTACTATTTGGGAGCACATGAGTTCGTTTTTTTTGACGGATTCGTGTTACTCAATCTTTTATATTAGTTTTCTGTGTATTATTTAAATTTGTAATTGTTGTTTGTCTTTTCATCGTTTTGTTTTTTGCCATGGTGATGTCTGTTTTTACTGGATTTATGTTTTTTTTTTTATTGTCTGTCTCTTTTCAAAATATTATTATTTTCCACAGCTAGTAGCTTTAAAAAGGTGATGTGAGGTAAACTTTTAAGTATAAATTTTAATATAGCACGATATTAATTAATTTTGCCCAAGAAATTTTTTTTCTGTTTTACTCTTAAACGACCTTAAGGCAGCGTTAATAAGTTCAACAGTATCAATAGTGAAGGACTAGTCTGCGTAAAATAACCTTAAGTTTGTTAAATTAATCTTATAATTATGTCCAGATAAAAACTTTCATCAACAGTTAAGTTTCTATACACTATAACAGTTAACATCAACATTAACAGTGAAAAAGCAATTTCAAGCGGGAATTATTACGTGTAATTTAATTTAAAAAAACAACCCAACATCTTCCTAGTATGTAACACGATTTTTAAAAACTAAATTTTACTGAAAATTAAAAAAAAAGTTTGAATCATTATTGCTATCAAGCCTAATACTCCTTACTGATATTTATTACTATTACTACTGTGTTTTAAGAAGAAAAACATTTTTTTGAATGATGCGTTTTACTTGTTCACAAACCATTTTTAATTGATCTAGAACGCTAAAATGAAACTTTTTCGATTATCAGTGACAATTTAGCTCAAGACATTAAAAGAATATACTTACTTTTCAAATATTTAATCAAAAGAGCACATTGTATGAAAAAAAGATGATAAGAAGCACTTATACCATTCAAACAATTGCGATTTTGAAGTTAAGTGTAAAGATCTAAACAATACACTTTTTGTCCAATTAATCACAAATAAACTAAAATGAAACTAACTGAAATTGTAAATTTAGGCATCGTAAAAAAATATATTTTGAAAATAGGCCGCAAAAAATGTAATTATTTTCCATTACAATTTTATTTATAAAATATTTTACAGAATACCAAATTCAGAACATCACTTCAATTTTAAGCAGAGACTTTGAATGTGAACAGGGTATGAAGATAGGCTTCAATATTGATGGATCTTTAAGAACTTTGTATGATCCTTTTAACAGAGTATGTACTTATATCAGTGTACAAGTAGAAAACAATATGTCAGGTCATGGACACTAATGAATTTTTGTGTGAAACATATAGCTTCTGTTCTAGTAGGTATCACAATTTTTTAAAGCTAAAGCTAACTGAAAAATGTTAAAACTTTTGCCAGTTTGTCACAATCTTACTCACAACAACACACTTACCATAGAAAATAAAAGTGTAAAGTATTTAATCGTTACTGTGTATTTATTTACAGACTTTTTGCAAAACACTTGCTCCATGTGTGTTATGACATTTTTTTAGTAAGATCATAAATGTATCAAGTTTTCAGACAATTTTATGTCAGTTAAAAACGTCAATTACTATTAAAAAACTGTTAAATTAAATTCAGCAAATTGTATATTTGGGATGTTGCTAAAAAAAAAAAAATTTTTTGTATACTTTCTTTCTTCATTTTTGTTGTTGCTCCTTATAAGGGTTTTCTAAAAATCACGAAAAATGTGTTGCCTCTCTGTTCTTGTGCATCGAGTATATGTGTATTTTACAAATACACTCAAGGACATCCATTATGATATAATTATAATTCATCATACATCTTCGTTAATATGCTCAGATTTTCCCGTATGAAATAACAGTAACTTAACATACTGAGTCCAACACTCTAATTTGCCCATACCGAATGTATCTGTTGATCTTATGTGTCATGAAACACTACTTCGGATAATATAAGCCTTATCAGTTGCAACTTGAGCCATATTCAAGTTGACGAATAAATGTTATATCCTCTCAGAACAAAATATATATTTACCCGATCACCGCGGGCGGAAGTGTTTTATTTGAAAAAAAAATTGCTATAGGGGTTGACACGAAACACATAATCATACAGATAAATTAGGCTTTAATCGGTGTTGCCAAATTCTTAACTTTACGCCTTTGCTATGCGTGTGACAGTTGAAAAAAAGAGTTTGCTAGGTGCAGGACAACTTAGAAAAATAGAGTAAAAATAAATCTACAAACCGAACTCCACAAAATATGACAAACCCATATTTCCGGAACGTTCGATTTATATCATCCGTAAACATCAGTCTAAGTGTTTAAAAGGCAATGTGCATTTACATTTTTACATGTTAATGTCCAGAATACGCATGTAAGTCCCTGAACATTTAGCAGTCAAAAATAAATGTATTAAAGATACATGAAGAAATAACGGAATATCTTTTGAGCTTGAACATTTTTTTGATAAAAATAATAGCTGAAAATTTGCTTCTTTACCTTATAAGAATACCTTTACAAATTTGGTATCCAAGCCAATATCGAAAGTAGTATGTCTTTTCGTTTAATTGTTTTAACCCTTAAAAAAAAGTAAAATGAAAAGACCTCATACTTACGAAAGCCTTATTAAATCTATTCATTATATCTTGAATATGGAACTATTAGAATGAAAATAACCTTTTGAATACATTTACCTATTTAGAATAATCTTTTCATTTAAAAAATGCAATTTTCCAACAAAAAATGTAATATCCTTTTTCTCCTGGTAGAGTTAAGCTTTGGCTAGTGGCTCATAGAGATTACTTATGTCGTCTTGTGTATCAGTTTCTTAGTCGACGTTGTCATTGTCTGAAGACGACAGGGGGCACATGTATACCTTGGAATACACGCACATTTTATTCTTCACGTCCCAATTTAAGGACCCTGTGATGAGATACCAGTTGTTAAATACAATTGAGATTGAGGATATGTGTTTGATAGGGATTGTCGTGTATTTTTAGCAATTACATATAAAAAAGTCATATTAAAAAAAAAAACTGAATTTTTTTCAAAATTATCAGAAAGTTGATAGAATAACTATTTGCAATTGCAGGTTAATTGGGCATTAAATACCTCTAACCCAATGGGAGCTATACTATATAACACGTATAATGAATCAGATTTTAATTATATGTCATCATTGTATAATTACTACGGAGGGGCAGGATATGATAAACCTAATTCTACTAAGAATGCAAATCCAGAGTCTAAACTTTGGAAGACTAAATTAAACAGAATGTGGAGATTAGATCAAGGTATGGATTTTAAATATAAAATTCTTACATCAATAAGACGTATGACGTCGATTTCAATGCTTTCCACACATGCTTCTGGAATAACAATCTTGACCAAAAGTATAAGAAGTCATAAATATACACATCGAAAAGCATCTTATAAAAGTGTAATAGGATCTTAATTTCTTTAAATACTGAAGCTCGGACTATATTTCATGTTATGTTTACAATACGTGCTGGTATCAAACAAATGTGATTTAATTATTGTTTTTTTCTTCTTCTAAATTTAGTATTTCAAAAGAAAAAAATATCATCGTTTTTTTAGAGTGTAACATCAAATTCATCCAATAGAAATCAGATGTGGTATGAGTACCAATGAGACAACTCTCTATCCAAGTCACAATGTGTAAAAAGTAAACCATTATAGGTCAAAGTACGGCCTTCAACACAGAGCCTTGGCTCACACTGAACAGCAAGCTATAAAGCACCCAAAAATGACTAGTGTAAAACAATTCAAACAAGAAAACCGACAGTCTAATCTACAAAAAATAGGAGAAACGAGAAACACTTATGACCCACATCAACACACGACAACCACTGAACAACAGGTTCCTGACTTAGGATAGGGGCAAACAAATGCAGCGGGTTTAAACGTTTTAACAGGCGCCAACCTTCACCCTAACCTGAAACAGTAGTATAACATTACAACATAGAAAGACACACTTTAAAATATCCATTGAAATGGCTTAACTCGATCAAAAAGAAATATTGACAAAAATATTTCTGTAATTATTTATTACTCTAACTGTTTTAATATAAAACGTCGCATTATTCACGAGTTTTTGTGCATATACTTGTCTTGCCTTAAGAAAATTCGAATTCCCAGCTGTGTAGTTATTCTTAAAAGATCTTCAGAATCTGTATAATACGTATTGTTGAAACAAATATGTTTATTAAATTGTCATCAATATATGCATATAATGGCTTTTATTTAGATTCGTGTAGATTTGTGCTTGAACTTGTGATGGAAAATTCGACTGCAAATACATCCTATGGCGCTCCACAGACTATTATAGTAGAATACAGTGAACGACCGTCAGATGAAACTTCTCCTGCTGGTAAAAACGTTGAGGTTTTTAAAATACAACCTTACAAGTTCATACATCATCTTTCATTTAGTTATGTTATTCTGTGCTACATGTAACAGTAAATTTCTCTAGTCATAGTGAATCTTGACATATATATCTGGAAAAATGTATTGCACCACCCTGATTTTTCTCACAAAGCAAAATATTATATAGAAAAATAACGAATTCAATTATCTACATTTATTGAAAATGGACAATGTTTAAATTTGGATGCTTACAAGTAGAACAGTTTAATAGTACAATTCCTTTTGTTTGAAAAACGAGAATATGTGGTTACAATAAATACGACAACGTCCAATACCGACAGAAACCACCATTCACACGGATCATCGAAACTAATCTATGGATACAATATTGAGTTTGTTGTTGTTGTAGTCTTTGTCATTCGGCCGTATAGCTTGAGCTAATTCTAAACTAGCGATACTCTCTCGCGTACCATGACGACCAATTATGTCCCAATTATGTTCAGTGGATGAATTATCGCAGGATTTGCACCAGGAATGGGAAAAACTTCAACAACAACAAATTCAACAATAAGTAGGCGGTTAGGATCGGTGATTCGGTATTGAACTTTTTTGTGTTTATTGTTACCACTAGTGCATATTCTCGTTTCCCTTGAAAAGGAATTGCACTATTGGAATTTTCTACTTGGAAGCACCCATAGTTAATTTTCTCCAACTTTTTTATTTTATTTATACATGTGGTCATGTCGATAACAGAAATTCATAATTTATATACTTTCGGAGCCATAAATAATATTATATGTTATAATCTTTTGGTTTGTAAGAAAAATCAGAGTGGTGTGATAATTTTTTGCAGGTGTACACTGTAAAAATGGTGTTTAGTTCCTAAACACAATTCTAAGCACATCTTTTGTGCACTTCCTTTTACAGATTTGGTCTAAACGTGTCTCAGTTCTAAACATGTTTAGGTTGACAATGTGTTTAGGATCGTGTTTAGCTTAGAAATTATTCCTTAACACTTTTAAAAGTGTTTAAATTCAAAACATGTTTACATTTAATGTGTTTAGTTATTAACCACAATCCTAAACACGTTTAGAACTGAACATGTAATACAAGAGTTTAATTTTTAGGCACGATTTATACAGTTTATATTTCAAAGATTGGGAATGATCTACCTTCAGACACATTTTAATATACTTAATAATTGAAGATATGCTCTATCTAAAACAATGGGTTTTGGAATTTCAAGACAAACTTTTATTGATCATTTTGACTTGCAGATAACCTATGTCAGCTTCAGTTGTGTAGAATATAACGATAATACCATCACCATCATCAAATCTTGGTTGAAAACTCACAAACGATATGATTGCCGTACACTCAACGTGTGTTTTGAGTATAACTATGTGTACTCGTGTCCAAAAGTTTGGAAAGCCTGAAATATTAAAAATTTGAGAGCAACAAAATCATCTAGGCCTAAATGTAATATTTAAAAACCTTTTCTGTCATCTTTGCCCCAAGTTTTAACACAATTGTGCACTGGAAATGTACAAACTAGAAGATTATATAAATCATGTAATTATTTTAAAAAAAAAGTACCGAATAAACAAAGCGTATTTAGTTCCAGATCCCATTTCGGCGCCTGTCGTGTCACTTATTTCAAGTAAATATCCGCTGCATTTTCATATTGAATGATGTCATAAATCATTCGAAAAGACTGACTTGTTGCCACGATCAAATTTAATGGGTCTTTGGCATTCGTCGACGGTGCAATGCAATTAATACAGAATACAGAGCCATATTTCCTAGCCTTTCAGAACACCAGCTATCACTCGTTCAATCTGTTAATGTTGTCAAAACTTTTAAGCATGTTCGTGTTTAAGTTTTAGTTTTATTGCTTTGTGCTGTTTAATGTTTAGTTTGATTAAATTCATGTCACTTTTTTCGTTTAAATTGATGAACTCTTTTTAAAACCATTAAAGCCAAAATGCTTTCCTTCTCCTCAGATTTTCTCTCTAACTTAATATAGACTATGTTAGAGTAGATTCTTTACTTCCTCCACCACCGGGGCTGGAACCTGTACTTTTCTCTTCATACTTCTACAACTTCTTCTATATTCATAATTACTCTAAATATCAGCACACCAATGTTTAATCTGCAAATTTGCTTCCGCAAATTTTTGTTCTTCCCTCGCCGGGATTCGAACTCATGCTATTGGAATATCGAGACAACACCGCCTCCACGGTGTCCGGCGGTCTAGACCACTCGGCCACCTAGACTAGTTGGCTGAGTGGTCTGGAGCGCTTATATATATATCACAAATTTACTAAAAACATCATCCCATGACGTTGTATAATTAAAATTGGGTCAAAGATTTTCAGTTATAATGCCTAATATTCTAAGGGCCATATAAGTGGTAACGACAATAATATGTGAGATGCTTTAATTGAAGAATCGCCTGTTTTAATGATTTCTACAAATAAGCAAAATTTTGCAAAATAAACAGTCACAAGAAATTATCTAAAACAGGCACAATTGACATAAGGTTTGGGATCTCCAGTCGAAAATAGCTGTTGAGAATTGTATACGTTCACCATAAGGAAATGTGCTTACATTATTCAAATGTTTACACAAATTGAACGTATATGAGGTATGTATCCAGTGTATAAAAACAATATATATATATATATATATATATATATATATATATATATATATATATAGTGAAGACCTGTTGGTGGCCTTCTGCTGTTGTCTGTTCTGTGGTCGGGTTGTTGTCTCTTTGACACATTCCCCATTTCCATTCTCAATTTTATATATATATATATATATATATATATATATATATATACTAGTATATAAAATGACTGAATAATAGCCAACGATAAATCTTACGGGGCGATGGATCATAAAATTATGACTACAAAATATAATATATAACAAGTCGAAAAGGGTACAACATCACCAAAAAATAATTAAATCACGAAAAAATTTTAGATATTTCGGATAACTAATATCCTTCATCAGTACGATATAAAATGAATCTTACCTTGACATGTGGTAGTCAAACTGAAATTGAATGGCTGTTCTGTCTCGCCATCATACTGCATGCCACATCGACACTGAAGAAGGTATACAACATTCTGGGTTTTGCAAGTTACATTGCAAAATATAGTGTACACAGACCCAGTGTAGTGGCAAGTAAATGTTTGAGTATTCAGCATTTTTTGGCAAGTCAGACATCGTCTGTTACCACACGACTTGCACCATCCTGCAGTTGAACAGCTTTTATTAGAGGAGACATCAGCTCTCACAAATAAGTCTTTCAGACTTGCTGGTCTCCGAAAAGCTAAGACAGGAGGTTTGGGAAAGATCTTGGATAATTTAGGGTGCTTGGCAATAGTTTGCCAATTGGCATGGATCAAACGTGAAAGGTTAGTAAAGGCGGGATTGTATGTTAAAACAAATGGAACTATTTTGCTGCGCCTCTTCTGTTTGTATTGTAATAGGTCATTGCGGCTGTTATTGTTAGCACGTGCAAATCCCTTATCTATGTCCCATTTCTTAAAACCTCGTTTGGTCAAAAATCCGCGAAGTTCATGTAACCGTTTAGTGACAGCCTCCTAAGAGAAGCAAATCCGCTTTACTCTGAGAGCTTGACTAGATGGGATACTTTTTGTACAGTTCTTGGGGTGACAGCTTTGGGGAGAAAGGTACTGATGTTTATCTGTAGGTTTACAGTAGAGGTCTGTTGATATGACACCGTCCTTTATAGATGTAGTTGTGTCTAAGAAAGATATTTTAGAGTCAGAAATTGACTGGTGGGCGTTGTTTGCATGTCTGATGAAATCATCTAGTTTATATTGGGATTCAATCCATTTCATGTCAACATCATCGATAAAACGGAACCAAGACAGAGGTTTGGATAAAGATGTTGAAATGATTTGTTTCTCTAATTTCCCCATGAAAATATTGGCGTAAGACGGTGCCATTTTCGTCCCCATCGCTGTCCCGTTTATCTGAAGGTAATGTTCACCATTAAAGGTGAAATTGTTGCATTTCAGAACCAGAGTAAGCAGCTGGACTTAACATTCGGTTGGTGGTTCTAAAGTGTTGACTACCACATGTTAAGGTAAGATTCATTTTACATCTTACTGATGAAGGATATTAGTTATCCGAAATATCTAAAACTTCTTCATGATTTAATTATTTTTTGGTGATGTTGTACCCTTTTAGACTTGTTATATATATATATATATATATCCTAAATTGAGGTAAATTGTATGGCTTTCCAAATACCGTTTCGATTCCTAACATCACTGAAGAGACATTAATTGTCGAAATCCGGATATGGTGTACAAAAACCTTTGCACCTTTTGTTTGCGGTATACCATCTTTTCCGCAAGATTTTTGTTTTCTGTTTAGTATTAAATTTATAATTAAGATCCATTTATTACATCGGTGATCCGTTTATTTGGCAATCGCCAATGGCAGTCAGCAGGGTTTAAGAACATTTGTTGTTCGACCTGTTAGTCAAATTCGTTTTGTTAAAATATACTTTTTTACTTTTTTGGTCTTTTGGAAAATGTTGTTTGTGCTGTATTTAGACCCCTCTAACAAGAAATTTGTTTTGCATGCACACGTATAAAAATTGCGGTTTTTATCCAACGCAATCATAGGTTTGAACGTTGTTTTCAATTTAGACTTGTTTATATTTTTTCGTTTTGGCCTGTATTATATTTGCCTTCGGGTTTATATGATCCGTTCATCCTATTTTGACCCCTCAACATTCAAGAGTCTATCCTAAATTGAGGTAAATTGTATTGCTTTCCAAATACCTTTTCGATTCCTAACATCACTGAAGAGACATTAATTGTCGAAATCCGGATATGGTGTACAAAAACCTTTGCACCTTTTGTTTGCGGTATACCATCTTTTCCACAAGTTTATTGTTTTCTGTTTAGTATTAAATTTATAATTAAGATCCATTTGTTACATCGGTGATCC